ATGACATGAAAACTTGATATGCATCTAAAGTCTATTATATGACTTAACTTATATGACAATCCATGAAGGATTTAAGTTGCTTAAAGCATATGGAATTCATGGTCATGAAGTACTACATCCTCAATGCAATTTGTGCACAAATGTATCTTGCTATAACTATAAGCATGATGATAGCGAGAATACCTCTATGGAGATATTGAAGAGTCATTCCACGACATTATATGAAGATGTTATATCTCTATCAAGAATGATGATTTCAAGGTGCAATATATTCATTCAAGTTAATATGGCTGATTTGTTTATCAAATATCTACCAAAGATCTTTTGAAGATGGTGCACAAGATTGGAATGCAAATGCTTAAGGATGTGAATTGATGCTCTCATCAGGGGGAGTTAATACGCGTTGTACTCTTTTTCCCTTATAAGATTTTGTCCCACTGGGGTTTCCTTGCAAGGTTTTTAACGAGGCAACCAAAAGGCGTATTATTAGATATGTGTACTCTTTTTTCTTTTCTAAAATTTTTTTCCCGTTGGGTTTTCTTTTAGTTAAGGTTTTAATGAGGCACATTATTTGTTGAATAGACATTCAAGGGGGAGTGTTATAAATAGAATTGTATTTATGGTGAATGTCTATATTTAGAGAGATTCTAGGGTTCATTGCTTGGTGGCTAAGTCACCCTCTCCCTATAAATAGAGGGTTCTATTCTATTGTAATTCATCCCAAATCAATAAGAATTCTCTCTCTCTACTTTTCTCTGCAATACTATTCTTCTTCTTTTATTGTTTCATAACAGAATTAATATTTTAAGATTTTTAGCTGTAATTACCTTCTAATTCATTCACATCTTGATTATTCATTTTCTTTTAGGAACATGGCTAGTTCATTTAGTTGCTCATAAACTAGCAGCTATCCCCACCACAAATACCGGATAACTTTGTCCAATAAGACTTAGACTGATAAATATCAATCCACTTATTCTTTTGGCTTATGTTGCAACTTGGAATTTTGATCTCTCAAAACTATCATTCCAAATTTGTAACAACAGTCGCGACTATAAACAGAATCGTGACTATGGCAGGGCGGTACACTCTGCTCTCTCACGACCCCTACTCTAATCAAAAGACTAAAGGCCCCTACTGAAGATAGGTCGCCAAACTACGACCGAGAGTTTCGCCTTTTGAATTTATTGACTGCTAGGTCACACCTTTGAATGTGATATCCTCTCAATGATGAACGAGAAGTATAAGAAGAGAGCCTTGAATAAAGAAATGAAAAAAGTTCTTCTCTAGTTAATTTTTAATTTGAAATTTACCTTAATAATATAGACTCAGTTAGAGTGAAACAAATTTAAATAACCTATGAAACCATAACAAGATTGAAATTGAGCTGTAGTTGAGTCAGAGTTAATTTCTTTCTTTTTGGTAATTATAGCTTTCATTGATAACCAAAGAGTAATATTTACAAATCAACCGGACCTTATATCACAGTCTGATTCTCTCGGCTTTCCAATCTGTATACACTTCTACTCAAAGACAATTACCATCTTTTGCTACCTAGGAAATTTACATTGTTGAAGCATTATCTTAGTAGCACTATTAGCTCGAACATGGCAGGTATAGGCAATTTCTTGGGCCACTGTTTCCGATGCAGTCTCCTTTTGCTCAAAAATCCTTTTGTTCCTTTCCATCCAAAGTGCATATACATATTCTGTGTATATCATCTTTACTAGCTTTGCTTTGGTAGTTTTCACTTCGGTGTTCTGTTCAATCCAATGCTGCATTTGGCTCCATGTACTCATATTCATCCAGTTGAGTTGTATCCACTGCATGAGCTTCTACCAGATCTGTTTTCCTACTGGTATTCTGCAAATAGGTGATCTCTGGTTTCTGCTACTCCTTTGCACATAACCGATCTATTCTCTACTTGAATCCCCCATCTTTCTAGTCTTGTAGTAGTTAACAGCCTATTCTGTTGTTGCAACCATGTGATAAACAATGTCTTTGGTCTTTCTTCATTGCTACATATGATATTCTTCCATGTAACCTTAGGCAGCTCCCCAACCATTTTCAAATATACACTTCTGATCATGCTTTTACTCTTCATATTTTCTGGTTGTACATACCTCAGACCCTCTCTTGCATTGAGTATCTTCTTGACCATCCAACTGGCTTGTTGAGGAATAGTCATACTCTCCATCGTTTGTGATTTTATGTAATACTCATGAATCCACTTAATCCATAAAGCATCTTTTTTAGTCTTCAAATCCCAGCAGGTGTTTATTATGGCTGCTTTATTCCACAACTTGAGATTAGTGAGATTTAATCCTCCTGCTGATTTTGGCATACACATCCTGCTCCAAGCTACCAGTGACTTCTTAGTAATTTCATTTGTTCCTGACCATATGTAACTTCTACAGTATCCTTCAATTGCCTCCATCACCTTAGCAGGAATAATGAATAACTGTGCCCAATAAGATTGAATACCAAAAAGTACTGATTTTACCAATTGTACTCTTCCTGCATAGGATAATTTCTTTGCAGTCCATGAGGAAATTCTTGCTGTGATTTTGGTTATAAGGGGTTGCCATTCAACCAGTTTCAGTTTTCTAGTGGCTAGTGGAATCCCTAAATACCTGAATGGTAATTCTCCTTGCTTGTAACCAAGAGCTTGCTGAATTTCCTGCTTGCATTCTTCTGAAACCCCTCCATAGTATATAGCACTCTTGGACTGATTAGCCTTTAACCCTGAAGCATTTGTGAATATACTAAACTTTCCATGTAGCAGCTCCACTGAAGTTTTATCACCCTTAGCAAACATAAGGAGATCATCTGCAAAGCACAGATGTGTGATGTTAAGCTTGGAACAGTTTGGTGGAATTTGAATTGTTTCTCCTCTTTCAATGTGCTGAGACTTCTGCTCAGGTACTCCATACAATAGCAAATAGAAAAGGAGACATTGGGTCTCCTTGACGAAGCCCTCTGGCAGCATCAAAAGGTGTTGTTGGTTCTCCATTTATCACTATAGAGTAATTCACAATAGTAACATACTCCATCACCCATCTAATAAATTTTTGTGGAAAGTTCAATCCTATCAACATTTGTTCCACGAATCTCCTATCTACTATATCATAAGCCTTCTGTATATCAACTTTAATCATACATCTGGGATATATGTTTTCTTGTATATGCTTTTACCAACTCATGAGCCATTATCACATTGTCTGCTACCTTCCTTTCTGGTATGAATCCTGATTGAGTCTCAGTAATTATGGTTGCAATCACCTTCTGAATTCTGCTAGCTAGAATTTTTGCTATAATCTTGTACAAGAAAGTGCAGCAAGCAATTGGTCTATACTCCTTTATTGTAGCAGGGTTGGCAACTTTTGGAATCAAGCTGACTGTTGTGCAGTTAATCCCCTTATACATTTTCCCTGTTGTGAAGAACTCCTGTATAGCTTCAATGAGTTCTTCTTTAATGACTGGCCAGGCTTTTTTTATAAAATATTGCATTGTATCCATCAACTCCCGAAGCTTTGTCATATCCTATAGCTTGAAGACCTAGATAGATCTCCTTCTCTGTCACTTCTTCACACAGTTGGAGTTGTAGGCTATGACTCAACACATTCCCTCTCCTCATGATTACAGTGTTAACTGTTGTTACACTCTGCAAAGCTGTCCCCATAAGTGACTTATAGAACTGTATTATCTCCACGTTGATATCTTTAGAATCTGTTAATTTTCCACCTTCTTGAGACTCTAATTCTAATATTTGCTTCCTCTGTTTTCTGTCCTTTATTACAGCAGAAAAGTAGCTTGTGTTAGCATCTCCCAGCTTGATCCACCTTGCCCTTGCCTTTTGCTGTAGTGCACTTTCTTCTATCATTGATCATTTCTCTAGCTGGCATATCATCTTCTTTTCTTCCATTGCTACCTCATCTAAGTACTGATGCCTTAGTTTGAGTTGTATTTCTTTAAGATCATTTCTTGCTTGACTGATTCTTGTTGTTATGCCTTTGAATTCAGTTTCATTTAGTCTTCTCAGCTTCTCCCTTAAGTCCTTCTGCTTGGCCCAAATGTTCCTCATCTTGTGTGGATGATATCTTAGCTTCCATTCATCCTCCACTAATTGCAAAAAAAATTTATGAGTTGCCCAAACATTAAAGAACTTAAAAGCTGTTTTGATTCTTGGTTCCTTAACATTTGTGGTGATCATCATTGGACAATGATCAGATATATGAGGGAGTTTATATTCATTCATCAAATTCAGAGTTATATCTTCTACGGTACTTTTTGATGGCGTCTACCATTAGCTTTGAGCAAATTATTTTACCAAATAGGTTTTTAGAAAATGCTTTTTGATTGCTGAATTAATTTCTTCTACGGTACTTTTTGATGGCTTCTACCATTAGCTTTGAGCAAATTATTTTACCAAATAGGTTTTTAGAAAATGCTTTTTGATTGCTGAATTAATTTCTTCTACGGTACTTTTTGATGGCGTCTACCATTAGCTTTGAGCAAATTATTTTACCAAATAGGTTTTTAGAACATGCTTTTGATTGATAGTCATTTTAACATCCAGAATAACATCAGCAAAATTATTCCTAGCTCCAAAATCTTTCTGATGAAACATGTATAGCTTAATTTCAAATATTTCTAATCTAAAATTATTTCCATAAAAACTTGACCCAAAAAAAAAAGTAAAAAAACCAAGTTAAAGATTAGGCTCGGATTTTCACCTACTTAATTTAATTTAATTTTTTCTACAAAAAAAGGAAAGCAGAATTGACACTGACATTGTTGCCATCATCGGTTGCGCGCTATAAGAAATACCTTCTGATAGGAGGAAAGATCATTATTAACACAACAGATAACCATTTAACTTACAGCAATCAAATATATAGGCTAGCACAAAACAAACTTAGATTGTACTATGAAGTCAAGAGAATAGAGTTTTGAGCACCAAATTTATTCATACGATTTATCAGTGGATGCAAATAAAGTTTGCTGTAAAACACATTCCATATCTCAACTGATTCAAATGACAAGATTGATCTGATGATCATCACCCAGTGGATGCTGCAATTGCAAAAAATAGCAGAAAAACTGATATTTCGTCCACATTAATCAACATTCTTGGGTGAGAAAAAATGAACCACCATAGTGCATTTTATACAAATTAACATTTAAGAACAAAGCAATAGCTCTAAACTTCAGTAGCCAAGAATCAGAGAATTGCATCTCTGAGGCCTCGTGCAAGTAGTCAAGCTGAGGCAAACGTGACATATGACGTGCGACTCCCATTAGAATGTCTAGTATAAGCTGGTCTTTCCTCGTATTTGTGGATGCCAATAAACTGTCATTCCATCTATAATTGAATTAGTAGGCATTCAATAGTACTGATTAACGATATTGATAGCTGCACAAATTTACTCGGTAACATGCTTTGTGATAGCAGTTCAATTATAGAAGACGTAAACCAAAATTTAAGCACAACATAGACGTATTAATCATAAAATAGTACTGCGATATTATTCAGTTTGAAGATATTCCAAGATGCAGTTCAAAGTTTTGGCCAAATTGACCTTAAATAAATACAAGCAAATTGGAGAAGGTAAAATTTATTACCATTTCATGCTGGCAGATCCAATTTCCATCAACCCAATAAAGACCGAATTTTAAGTCCGAAGGAGAAAACTCAAGCTCCTCATCCAGATTGTTGATAGCCACTCGAAATGGCAGTATAACAAATGCTTGTACTCAACCCAGAAACCCCATTTCTCTTTAGGATTTAGAGTTGGAAGCTGGAGCTCTTGACTTCAGTGGTTCCACAATGAAGGTAATCTAAATCTGTTTCTAGAAAGACTAAAGAAAAATGTAAATAAACTACGTTTAGAAAGAGGCTCAAATTTTCGCCTATTTAATCACAAAAAGAAAAGGAAAAAAGTGCAGAGTTAACTGCCATGGCTGCACAATCTACGGTTGCCTTATAAGAAAGACCTTCCGATTGGACTCACCAAGCCAGGCATGAATCAACTCTAATCTTCTTCACTTTTCATTTTCATTATATATAATCTTCACTGCCTCTGAAACTTCGAGTGTTCAAGATTGAAACAAAGGCATGAAAGTTTGAATATTGTGTAGATAACTGCAGCAACAACTAGCTTCAATATCAAACTGGTTAAAGACAATATATGAATCCTCAAAATTCACTTCCTTTTTCTTTGGACTTGTTTCATATCTTTTGAGATGAGGATTCTTCCTGATATTCTGCAGAAGAAAGAACAAGAACGTAGAAAGAATGAAAGAAAAAGGCTCAGATTTGCATAAAAATCTATCAGAAAAAACGGCTAATCCGCCATGTCTGCAAAAGCAGATGCCTTTCTGAGAGAGCACATAAAGGACCAACCTCAGAAATTCCCATGCCTTTGCTCAGCCAATCTGGTTTTAAAGCTTCCTGGAGAATATCATCACAGCCTCATTCACAAACTTTAGGGTTTAGGATTCGGGTTTTTCCGGACAAGTTTAGGGGGGCAAAATATGTATTTTCTCTTGAAGGGAAGTTAAACTTTCTCTTTATGATAAAAGCATAGGAAAATTCATTGGCTAAATTGAACTTCAGAGGAAGAGAGTAACCACCCTTAAAAAATCTCAACCTTCCTCCGAGTTCCATAAAAAGCCTCGCTCTTGGAACACAAAAAGATATTTGGGAGGCTCAGATTCGCTTTTTCTCATACATAAGCTAAACTCCGCCATGGCTGCAAGCTCAAGAAGCCTTCGCGAGACACAGAAACAAAAAATAGCTCCAATATCCACAAGACCACCAAAGAGATGCCACGCCAAGATGTAGCAAAGCTCAGTTCAACCATCTGATGAGTAAAGAATGAAAATCTTCACTGCCTAAGTGAAAATTTTAAGTGGATCATTGGCTGCTAAGAATGACAGAGAGGGACAACCACTCACACAACTCCCCACAACTCTCTCAATCCAGCAGCCTTAGACTTAAACTAATGAAACTTTTGCCATTTTTGTTTCACCTTTTGCTTCATCTATCGGCTGAAACAGTTTCTTCCATGTCAAATACAGCCAGAGTAAAATATAAGGGACAATTGAGGCTCAGAACTTATTCATGTTCAGGCAAAGAAAGTCCAGCCACGCCATGGCTGCAATACCCCAAGTTGCAAGTAAGAAAATCACATGCATCCGGGTCATTGCCGGGCCAAGTACATGCTGGATACTCTCGATGCCCAATTACTAGCTCAGAAGGATAGATTGAACGATCATCACTGCCTTGATAAGGGACCATTTTGGACATTTTCTCCTGATATGCATGCATGTATACATGCATGCATGCATGTATGTAGGTATGTAGTATACAGACAATATACATAAGCATCATTTACATAAGAAGCTCAGATTTCAATTCAATCAGGCATTGCTGCAACCTTCCCACGTTACCCCGCCAAGATATGGCTGTTATCATCTCAACACCTAACCCAAATTGCTCAAAAGATAAGAAGGCATTACAATCACTGGGGAGGATAGTGTGTACAAGACATTACCTCGTGGAGGTAGAGAGGCTGTTTCTGATAGACCCTCGGCTCAAAGCAACAGCAACAAAAACAACATGGGTATATACAAAAGATCCATCTTTTACATGCATACCACATTTTTCAAAGCACCATACGTCCCGAGTTCGATTTCCAGAAATTTGAGGCTCAGATACTGCATTTTGCTCGGACAAAGTGAAGGCAAGTAGGCAACTACGCCATGGCTGCAAAATCACCAGTTGCATGCACAACAAGGGATTTGCCAGGCCAAGATACGGATTGTCCACAATGTCCAATATGTTTAGCCCAGAAAGTGAAAGAATATTATCATCACTGTTTTCCTCTTTTGTAAAATTATTCCAAAGGAGGAAAAAGAAACACACATACACAGAGGTCCATGGCTTAAGCTGTAGACTGAAAAAGAATATGATGTTTCTCCGTATTTCATGAACAAGGGCTGTTGGTCTAGTAGCTACAGAAAAACATTGGCACAACAGAGAGGGCCAACCACACTTGACAGAAAATCCCTTCACTCTGTTAGCCTCATTTCTCTTTCCGGGCCAACTCTTTTTTAGGAAAATTCTCGGCTCTCACCTGATTCTGAACTTTCTTCTTCTCAGAGTTGTACATTAGTAACCAAAGACAGATGTTTTCCATCATACCAAAGACGCCCTTATAAAATAACAATACAATACATTGAGTAACAACCATCCAAACAAGCTATAAGAGTAAAATGGAGGCTCAGATCTGTTGATAAGACAAGAGAATGAAGACATCGCCATGACTGCAAACACCGGTTGCATGACACAAAGATCAGTTGCCATCCGGATTGCCCCGCCAAGATACGGGTCCCTTTATTTCTCTTGACCAATTGATTAGCTCATAAAAGAAGAGAAGACAGTATCATCACAGCCTCAAAATTCTCTCTTTTGCTTAAAAAGCTATGTAATTTCACAAATAACCAACTGGAAAAAAAAAAAAGGGAAGAGGGTTGTTAGTTTGGCTGGTGGAGAAATCATAGGCCAGCCAGAGAGGGCAACCACCCTCGAAGAAATCCATTTTCTCTCTGTTGGCCTCATTCTTCCTTCTGGGCCAATTCTCACTGCTGTGCAAAAGACCCCCCAGAAAGAAGCAATCATCATAGCCCAGTTCAGGTGATCTGTGAGGGAGATTTGCACATATAGGATCATTATTACACAACACCTCTCAAAAGGGACATCCGGTGAAATTTTCTGGATCTATGAAGATCACCATCAGTCGTGGATTCCAAATACAAATCCATAAAAGTGGATATTTGTGAAAATCGGGAGAGGCAGAGGAAAGAAGAGCAAAGCCCTTTTTAGAGAAGTACATAGTCCAGGGTGTTGTTGGAATGGTTTATCATATACCTTTTCTTGTTTTTTTTTTCTTGAAGGTCTGTTGGTTTTATGAATGGAGAAATCACGGGACATAGCAGAGAGGGGCAACCACCCTTTGAAGAAAATCCCATCTCTCTCTGATTCCTCCTCCTTCCTTTCTGAGCTAAAATCTACGAGGGCTTCGCCTAATCAAATACACCCAAAGAAAGATATGGGAGACAATTGAGGCTCAGATCTGCTTAAAATGGGGCAAAGAGAAGGCGACTACGCCATGGCTGCAAAAGAAGCAGTTGCATGTAACAGAGAAGCCTCAATCACAAACCATCCGGGTTTGCCCTGCCAAGATGCGGGTCGGACTGTTTCTATGCCCTCGAATATCAGCCAACGTTTAGCAATATCATCACCGCCTCTTTCGAAAAATGACAACTTTTCCATAGAGCCAATTCGGATAATATTTGACAACCAAAAGCTAGGATCAGAGGATGTTTGGTTTAAGCTCAGAGAAATCAGAAATCAGTACTAGTATTTCTACAGAGGGTTGTTTGTTTAGTTGATGGAGAATCATCGGCCAAGCAGAGAGGGCAACCACCCTACAAGAATTCCCTTTTCTCTCTGTTGGCCTCATTCTTCATAGTTCATACCAGGGTCTGGACCTCCACTTTTGTGTAGTAAAAACACTGATCAATAAAAGACAATTTAACACGAAGAGACCCTTTTTTTATGCTTTTGTGCTGATTTGCCTAAAGAACGCAGCCACACAAGAGCAGAGTAGTCGCAGATAGATAGAGAGACAGAAAGAGACATACAATACATATATATATACAGACACACACACACACATCATAGATATGCAAAAAGGGCTGTTGATTAGAGCCAAAAAAAGAAATCATAGGCATGCTGGAGATGGTCAACCACCCTGAAAAAATCCCATTTTTTCTCCGATCGCCTCATTTTTTAGCTAAAATTTTGATGGAGAACTGCATCTGAAATGGGGTGTTCATGAAAAACTGAAGAACCCAATTTGGTTTTTCAGTTCCAGAGAACGGCCGTCCAATTCAAGATCATCAAATGGTTGCCCTAAAAGTTTTAGGGCCCAGATTTTGCTTTTCTATGAAAAAGCAGAGAGAAAGCAACACACGTCATGGCTGCAGACACGGTTTGCAAATGATGCCATACCAGGTCGCCCTGCCAAGATACGAGTCGGATTTTCTCAACACAGTAAAGTGGGGGAAGTCCACATATAGCCGTTTTCAGGACCCCTATTTAAAGACTGTGGAAATTGAGGCTCAGATATGTGTAAAATGGGGGAAAGAGAAGACGACAACGCCATGGCTGCAAAATGGACTGGTTGCATGATCCGAGTTTGCCCCGCCAAGATTCGGGTTTTCTCCATTTCCCGAATAATAACCCAGCTTAGCAATCTTATCACTGCCTCTTTGGACAGTTGAAAACTTGGCATAGCAATTTGTGGACAGTTTCAGGACACATAAATGAACCGAGAGAGTACTATTGCTATCAGCATCACATCAATGGCAACTGATATTTTTCTTCTTTTTTGGTCAACCAAACCGAACCATGAACACCCCTAAATATACCAATTGAAAAAAAAAAAAAAGAGAGAGAGAAAAGAAGAGGGTTATTGGTTTGGTTTATGCAGAAATTCATAGGCCAAACAGAGAGAGCAACCACCCTCGAAGAAATCCTTTTCTCTCTGTTGGCCTCATTCTTCTTTCTGGGCTAACTCTCATCTCATTTTGCTCATTAGAGATGATTTGGATGAAAGATTTGAGGCTCAGATCTGTAATTAACTCGGGCACTGAGATATTTCACACCGCCATGGCTGCAAACCATATAATATGGATTGCCCCGCCAAGATACGGGCGTGAAACAACAATGCCCGATGCCATTTGCTTAGTAAAATTATCATCACAGCCCCATTATTTTCCCTTTTCCATTTCAAGTTGTATGCTTTTGCTGTTGCTTTGCCATGGAAACACAGCCGCAGCCTCTGCGAAACAGACTGTAACAGTAACAGAAAACGGAGGGAAAATGATCCTTAATATATGGGGGTTGGTTGCACAAACACATGCATAAACAAAAAGAGCTCTTGGCTAGAGCTAAAAGAAAATAGATATCACAGGCATGCCGGAGATGGTCAACCACCCTGAAAAATCCCGTTTTTCTCCGACTGCCTCATTCATTGAGCTAAAAGATTGATAGAGAACTGCATCTGAAATGGGGTGTGCTAAAGAAAAACTGAAGAACCCAAGTGGGTTTTCAGTTCCCAAAAACGACCATCCATTTAAGACCATCAAAGGTGCCGTAGATTTTGGGACTCAGATACTTTTTGTATATGAACATGCCTAGAGAAAGCGACACACGTCATGACTGCAGACACCAGTTTGCAAATGATGTCATACTGGGTTGCCCCGCTAAGATACATGTCGGATTTTCTCAACGCTGTGAGTAGGTAGCCCAGAAAGAAGCAATCATCACAGTCCATATCAGTATCCTATTTGTGCAAATCAGTTGTGGCCTTCTAAATACAAGGCCATAAGAGTGGCTATCTGTGTAAATCAGCAGTGGTCGCAGCAGAAGCAGAGGACCACTATATAAAAAAATGACAACCTTAATTGAACAGGGTCTGTTCTATGGGCTCGTACCACTATATCCTTGAGTTCTAATGGATCCTAAAGAACAAGAGTGCCTATTTCGACTGCATTTATCAGGCAAAGAGAAGTCAACTCCGCCATGGCTGCAAAATCACTGGTTGCATGCAAAAGAGAGAACCTCAAATGCCGACCATCCAGTGATTTGCCAGGCCAAGATACGGGTCAAGTTGTCCAAGTCCCCGATTCAGCTAGCCCAGAAAGTGAAACTTCATCATCACTGCCTCTTCCGTAATCTGTACAATTGCTCAAGAGGAGGAAAAACAAACACATGTCTGAAGCTGCAGACAGAAAAGCTGTTTGTATTTCATGAACAGCGGCTGTTGGTTTAGTAGCTAAAGAAAATCATTGGCACAACAGAGAGAGGAAACCACCCTTCACAGAAAATCCTTCCCTGTTAGCCTCATTTCTCTTTCTGGGCTGACCTCTTTTTAGGAAAATTCTTGGCTCTGTCTAGAAAATTTCCCACCTTTCTCTTCTCATAGTGATACATTGTACCAAATACTGATTTCATCATGATAAAGATTTTCCATCATACCAAAGACACCATAAGAGAAAAAATGAGGCTCAGATATAGTGAATTGAAAATATGACAAGAGAATGAAGACATCGCCATGGTTGCAAGCACCGGTTGCATGACAGGAAACCGCCAACCTTGTTGCCCCGCCAAGATACGGGTCCCTTCTTTTTCTTGCTGGATTGAGTTGCTCAGAGAAAGAAGGAAAAAGAATATGATCATCACAGCTCATATTTTCTATCCATATATCTATCTAACAACTACATTGAGAAAGCAAAGTGCTTTTGGATTGAAATCATGGGCTCACCTGAGAAGAAAAAGTACCCTTCTGAGATACCTCATTCTTTTGTAAAACCTGGAGCAAATGTTTTCAAAGCACAAGAGGTCCCAAGTTCGATTCCCAGAAAAAGTACCCTTCTCTGATACCTCATTCTTTGAGCTGATACTATGAAGAAAATGACATGGGTTTTACCAAACAAGAGGCCCTGAGTTCGAATCCTGGAAAGTCCCTCTCTTATCTATGCTTTGCCTGAAAACGCAGGAGCAAAGTAGCCAAAGATAGAGAGACAAAAAGACACACACACACTCATACATATGCAAAAATTGCCGTTGATTAGAGCAAATTAGAAATCATAGGCATGGCGGAAATTGTCAAGTTCTTCGATTGCCTCATTCTTTGAGCTAAAAGATTAGGAGCCCGTTTGGATTAGCTGAAGTAGCTGATAAGCATTAGGTGCTGAAACTAATTTAATAAATAAGCAGTTACGTATTTGGATACAACTGCTGAAATTGATAATTAGTTGCTGCAGTATTTGAAAAAAAAGTGCCGATAAGCTCTTTTTCTGTTAAAATGAGCTAAATAACCTTAGAACTATTTACACTTATAAGGGCATAATTTCTTCACTTAGCTTATTTTTGACTTATAAGCACTTAGCTTATAAGCACTTTTAAATTTAACAAACACTTAGATAAACCGAAAAGTGCTTATAAGCTTAGCCAAACACCCTCTAGGGCTCATATTTTGCTGTATATTATGAACATGCAAAGAGAAAGCAGACACACGCCATGGCTGCAGACACCGGTTTGCAAATTATTACCATACACGGTTTGCCCCGCCAAGATACGGGTCAGATTTTCTCAAAGTAGAACATTTTGCGAGTTGAGGGGTAAATTCGGACCTTTTTCCTATACAAAAAGGGCTGTTGGTTAGAGCTGATACAAACTAGCAATCATAGGCATGCTGGAGCTGGTCAACCACCCTCAAAAAATCCCAATTTTTTCTCCAATTGCCTCATCTATCCCAATTTTTTCCCAATTCCCTCATTTTTAAGCTAAAACCCCCTATTTTTTTTCTCCAATTACCTCATTTCTAAGCTTAAAAAAATCTCTTTTTTCCTTCAATTGCCTCATTTTTTGAGCTGAAAATCCCGATTTTTTCCCCAATTACTTCATTTGTGAGCTAAAAAATCTCATTTTTCTCCAATTGCCTCATTTTTTGAGCTAAAAATCCCATTTTTTTCTCCAAATGCCTCAACTTTTGAGCTAAATAATTGATCGGAAACTGCATCTGAATATTGGATTTTCAAGAAAAAACTAAAGAACCCAAGAAGGATATCTAGGGCTCAGATTTTGCTGTATATCCCATGAACATGCAAAGAGAAAGCAGACACACGCCATGGCTGCAGACACCGGTTTGCAAATTGTTGCCATACACGGGTCGCCCCGCCAAGATACGGGTCGGTTTTTTCTCAACGCATGTAAAGTAGATATAGCCCAGAAAGAAAGAAGCAAATCATCATCACAGCCCATTTCAGTATCCTATTTGAGCAAATCAGTTGTCACCTTCGTAAATACAAAGGGACATAAAAGTGGCTACTTGTGCAAAATCAGCTATTGTAACAGCAGAAACAGAAAAAGGAAGAGCATAATAGCCCCTTTTTCTAGAGATTCAAGGGTAACCAAATTGACGGAGAAAACTTTTCTGTTGACGAAAATGGCTATTTGTGCAAATAATATTTTCCTTTTCTTGTTCTTTTTTTCCAAAGGGTTGTTGGTTTTTTAACAATGGAGAAATCATGGATATAAAGCGGAGAGAGGGCAACCACCCTTTACAGAAAATCCCATCTCTCTCTCTCTCTCTGATGCCTCCTCATTCTTCCTTTCTGAGCTAAAACTGCCGAGAATTTTGGCTATTTATATAAATAGCACAATGTCCAATGCCCAAAGTTCTTTTGCTCTTTTCATGGCCGACCAAGGGCATATTGGGTGAAGCAATAAGCAGATTCCTTTTTAACGAAAATAATTTGTGGGCAACAGCCACGTGTGTTCCGAAATTTTTTGATTGCTATAATAAAGTATTATTATAGAGACTATGAATTGATTGTATATTGAATTAAAGTACTCTGCAAAAGTATTATTAGGAAATCTTACGGAAATATTTCAAAGAAGTTCTAACTTACCAATCTTTAGTCATTAATCTTATACTTACCCAAACAGCCAAATATAAAAATTAAAAATGCAAAGAAATAACGTTCTCCAAGAATCACACACAAAGATCTCCTTTCATATTTTTAAGCGTGATTAACAACATTAGATGCAAGGCGAAAAGAAATTTTCGTGGATGAGGTTGCAAATAAGGTGATAAAATACAAAAAAAATATGTATAAGTTTCCAAAAATCTAAGCAAAAAATGACTTTTTTCAATTGGTATGGTTGAGATTCATTGAAAACATATAGATGAGTCAATATATAAAATTTGAGGAAGATTGGAGGTGATTTGGACTGATTTAGTATCAAGATTCGTAGTTAAAATCAAGTGTAAAAAATTCTTCTGCAACACATGTATCTCACACGCAGGTATACATGGATATACATGTGATACACATTTGATACAAATATGAATACACAGTGTGATCATATCATTTTTTTCATATTCATCTTCTACTTCGAATTTTCAATTCAAACCTCCCAACTGATATTTTAAGCTCCTTAAGATGTACTCAATCTATTCTAATAACACTCACTCAAAAGAAAGCAAAACTTTGACCTTTTCTTGGCTATTAATAGCTAATTAGCTAATATTGGTAATATTTTAGGAATTGGCCAATTTTTGTAATAAGCTACTTATAAATGGACATAGCTAGTATTTTTCCAAATTTAAAAACAACTAATACAGTATTTTTATTTAGATTTTAGTTGTATATGACGATTTGTAAAAATTGTACACTATTACTATAATTTCTAAGTTACCTGTTGCGATACACTAATTTAATCTAACAATGTAAAACTTCATACATAATCGGTGCACAAAGCTTAAATAAAAAAACAAGATTTCTTTACCTTCTTGTGATTAGAAGGTAAGTAACTCGTGGCACTATTAAAAAGAAGGTTTGCCTTTTATTTTCACCTTTTGCAAATACTAGTTTTTACGTACGTGCGATATACGTGTGTTTTGCGTCTATTATTAAAAACACGTGCAAAACATAAAATAAGAATAAATTATGTGATATAACAATTGACGTCGAGATATATGCAATAATTTTTTGAATAAAAAATAAATATTTTTAATTAACACAATAGATGAATCCAAAGTAATTGAATATTTTCTAAATTTTCAAAGACGAAGGATTTAGATGAGTTAGTTATTTAGTAGTAATTATAATTATATATATTTTATTGCATAAAATAATAATTTATTATGATGTTGTATCTGACCTAATTTATCCTGTTTGAGTTTTAATTTTCCTTTGAAGTATGGGCAAAAAATTTGCCACAATTACTTTGTTACTTTTCTTAAAAGAAAAATATATAATCTATTTCTTATTTGGCTATTCCTTTTGGAGGAAAAGGTTTGTGTACTATTTTTCTGAGTGAATTGCTCCTGTATAAATCAAGTGACCAAATCATATTATTGTATCTCTTTATATATTTTTCTTTTCTCGTATGAATTATTTTTATTTAACGTTTGCTATGTTGAGCTTTTCGTATTAACACATGGTTATTTTCAATTTTTAACANCCCGCTTCCTATTCCAGAGCTGATGATCGATGCTACTACTAGTTACGAGGCAATGTCTTTCATGGACGGTTCGTCGGGCTATAACCAAATACGCATGGCACCAAAAGATGAAGAGCTTACTGCGTTCCGCACCCCTAAGGATATTTATTGCTACAAGGTAATGCCTTTTGGCTTGAAGAATGCTGGTGCTACTTACCGAAGGGCTATGCAGAATATTTTTGACGATCTTCTCCACAAGAATGTCGAATGCTATGTTGACGACTTGGTGGTGAAATCAAGAGAGAAGGGCGACCACATAAAAGACTTGAGGATGGTATTTGAATTGCTCCGGAGGTACCAACTTAGGATGAATCCGTTGAAATGTGCCTTTGGAGTTACTTCTGGAAAGTTCCTTGGTTTCATTGTCCGACATCGAGGGATCGAAATTGATCAAGCCAAAGTGGATGCCATTTTGAAAATGCCCGAGCCTCGAGATATCCATGAATTGAAAAGTCTGCAAGGAAAGCTAGCATACCTTAGAAGATTCATATCAAACCTGGCTGGGAGGTGCCAACCATTTAGTCGCCTCATGAAGAAAGGCGTTCCTTTCAAGTGGGACCAAGCTTGTAGCAATGCCTTCGAAAGTATCAAAACCTACTTGATGAAGCCTCCAGTTTTAGCAGCTCCTATATCTGGAAAGCCATTGATACTATACATTGCGGCACAGGAAAAGTATGTTGGAGCACTGTTGGCCCAAGAAAATAGTGAGGGGAAAGAAAACTCTCTTTACTACTTGAGCAGGATGATGACACCTAACGAGTTGAACTATTCGTCAATTGAAAAGTTGTGTTTGGCGCTATTCTTCTCAATTCAAAAGTTGAAGCACTACTTTCAAGCTCATGTTGTCCGTCTTGTTTCTAAAGCAAATCCCATCAAGTTCGTGATGTCAAAACCTGTTCTTAGTGATCGACTAGCGAGATGGTACCTCCAATTTCAACAATTCGAGATTTTATACATCCCTCAAAAGGCTGTAAAAGGACAAGCATTGGCAGACTTCTTGGCAGATCATCCGATACCTGATGACTGGGAGCTAACTGATGAACTACCTGATGAGGACGCAATGGTCGTTGAAGTTCAACCTCCATGGAAGATGTACTTTGATGGTGCTGCACATCGTGGGAGAGCCGGGGCTGGCGTAGTATTTGTCACTCCCCAAGGTGAAGTCTTGCCCTACTCTTTCACCTTGACACAACTCTGTTCCAACAATGTTGCTGAGTATCAAGCATTAATACTTAGGCTCGAAATGGCCGTTGATATGAAGCAATTACAATTGCAAGTCTTTGGTGACTCCCAGTTAGTGGTCAATCAGCTTTGGGGTAGTTACGAGGTTAAGAAGCCTGAACTACGCCCATATCATGATTACGCTAAAAAGTTGATGGGGTGGCTCGGTGATGTGACTATTCAGCATGTGCCAAGGAAAGAAAATAAGAAGTCTGATGCTTTAGCTGCTCTAGCTTCATCATTAGCCTTGCCTGACCAAGCGCAAGTTACCGTCTGCCAAAAATGGGTAGTACCGCCGCCAAATGAGGCTGAAGGTGAAGAAAACGAACTCAAGCATCTTGTTGCTATTTCTGAAGATGAGAAAGAAGAATGGCGGCAACCCATTATCGACTACTTATGCTATGGGATACTTCTAGAAAATCCGAGGAGAAGGACTGAAATCCGTCGTCGTGCACCTCGCTTCCTTTACTACAAGGATACTCTATACAGAA